TAGTTATGGGCTTAGACACCTAATCCAAAAGTTCCCCGATCATACCACATACCATACAATAAACATACTATCATGCATATTTGGGTGCCCGACCTATCCTGCTGAGCATATCTGGGTGCTGAACCTACCCTTGTCAGGCATACCAGGGTACCTGACCTACCCCTATCAAGCATATATGGGTGCTCGACCTACCCTGGTAGGCATATTTGGGTGCTCGACCTACCATCTGGTTTATTTTAACCGGTTATGTGGACTTTTTCACCCCTACCACTACCACATAATAACATAGAATAACATACTGTCGGACATATCTGGGTGCCAAGGGCGGATCTGCAGTGGTGCACGGGGTTGCACCGGCAACTACTAAATTTTTTCCTATTAATGTAAAAAAAATTAATTTTTTTTAGTGTGCACCTATAGAAAGTGAGTGTATTACTGTTACAGTTCATAAATTCAATCAAATGTTACCGAGCCTAAGTTGGTTTAAGGTGCAAGGTAAAGTTTATCTCTTTAAATAGGTCTCGAGTTCAACTCCTTCTCTCAACAATTTTCTTTTTCATTTTTCTGTTCTGCTTTCTTTTTATTTTTTAGTTTTACATTAAGTTTTCATCTTATCGTACCATTTCTTACTAGTCTCCTCATGTAGTTTCTTCCATGCACATTATCCACATATATGTACATATGCATTACACATGTTTCAATCTTGTTCGTTTGAGATTTTCTAATCTTGTTCGTTTGAGATCTTTTTTAAGCCCTTGGATGACATATTTACTTATTTAGTATCCAAAATATATAAATTCAAATGCTAAGACCAATAAATAGTTGGTATCAAGTTACCAATTAATAGTTGATGTTAGGTTACCTCATAGGTAAAATACATAAAGTTACTATTTAAAAAATTGATAACTTAGACTTAAAAAAGTCAACATTTCATTATACTGTACAATGAATAGTTGCTACCTAAGTCTCCTAATTAGTTTTATTATAATTGTTTTTCATAGTTTCAAAAGAAAATATAATTAAACATAATCATTTCATTTTAGGAAAATCTTTAGAAAAATCTCAATATTTTAAGTTAGTTTACCAAATAATCTCAAATTATTTTTTTTTACAAAAAAGTTGTAAAAACCGATTAAAGGTTGCATTATGACATTTCTCATAGTTTAATCGGTAACAAATTAATTTGTGATTATTTCCTAAATAGATCAAAAATATTGAAACTTTTATAGCAAAACAATTATTTTTATTTTTATTTTTTATTGAAAAATCAAATAAATATATTATTCTTTAAATTTGTTATTATTAAATAAATGCATATATAAATATATTTTAAATACATATTTATACATATAAAAATGTATTTATATGTAAAAATATACATATAAATTTAATAAATACATATGAAAAACATATTTATATATTAAAAACGTTTTTAAAGTCTTTTTTATTTATTTAAATGTGTTTATATGTTGTTGACAAAAGAACTAGATTATGATAGAACATATCTCTCTGACCATCATAGTGAATTAATTTATGTGCCACACTTACTATGAAATCCTGTGTCCGCCCCTGCTGGGTGCGTGACCTACCCTGTCAGTCCTTACAATCGATACTGGGGTCTATCCTACCCCTCCTACCACTATCACATAATAACATAGCATACTAGCACATAACTAATAACAGATAGTGGCATACCAGACAATTGTCATACAAACAATTATCTTCACTATAATCAACTACTAGTGGGCCGACATTGGTGCCTTCAACCCACTTCTACTAGAAGGTAATTCACCTCAATGTCATGAAGTAGCTGAACTGTCCTCAACTCTCCTCAAACTCCTACACATAAAATCTCTTTTAATTACCCTTTCATGCTCATACCCCTTTTAGGGTCAACTTCGGTCAAGGTAAAAGTTAAAGTCAACATATGGTCAAAGTTAACATCTGGTTGAATCAACTCGTCAAGTTGGTCCATCAACTCGCCGAGCTCTATAAATCAGAGAATCTCGAATTCGTGATCTAACTCATCGAGTTACCCTCTAACTCGCCGAGTTCTTCCTTATGACATAATCACGACTTTTCGTTTTAACTCGTCGAGTCCTTCCTTAGACTTGTCGAGTCCTCCAATCTTCAAAACCCCGAAAACTTGGCCAACTCATTGGGTCATCTTCTAGACTTACTGAGTTTGCTCCGTAACAAAAAAGGTTGGGGGACCACGACCCAACTCGTCGAGTCGCATGAACAACTCGTCGAGTCCCTTATAGTCTAAATCCATTAAGTCACTTTCTATTGGGCCTAATGCATCAAATCCATTGATCTAGTCCCTTAGAGTCGATATATCACGTAAAGTTGTTAACTTTACGTCCATGCATGGGTTATTTATCTCAAAAAGCCCTAAAAAGTGGTTCACAAGTTGCATGGGACTCCCATAGCCATAAAGTTGGCACATTTATGCCATGGAGTCCCTCAAAAGCTCTAGATCTGAACTTACAACTTCATGATACACTCAAATCCCGAGGGTGACTTCAGTATGGCCCAAAAATGGTAAAATACAACCCTAAATGGAGATCTCAACAATAGAAAGCCAAGGTATCAACTTTATACCTCAAATGGGTCAGAAATGCAGCTTAACTTTTGGATCTACTGGCTTCCTCTTGAGTCCTCAAGCTTTTCCTTCCTTCTTAAGCTTCAAAATCACCAAGAACACACAACAATGACTCAAAAACACTCCAAGGTGGATTAGGGTTTTGTAGCTAGGGTTTGGGGTGATGGAGGCTGCAAATGAAGCCACCCTTTGAAGGTTAAGGTGCTTAAATAGGGTGCAAAGCCTGAAAATTAGGGTTTCACTCTGGCAGCTCTACTCGTCGAGTCAAGGCTCTCAACTCGTCGAGTAGACTTCGAGTCCTGCATCCAAAAATCCCATTCCTACTCAACGAGTTTGGGGCCTCCAACTCGTTGAGTCCCTTTGCTAAAATGAATAATTCATATTTAAAATACACACCAGGAACCGGGCATTATAGTATTGAAGATCCCAGTAATTCTATCTAATTATTTTTTTCTTAAAACATTCCTAACTAAAATTCTTAATTCACGCAAGAAGCTCGATCTATAACTCTTCCCCTTTCTTCCCTTTGGGTCCAGCTTACGAACCAAGGGCTTAGACCTCACTTAATAAGGTCCAAATTTATTTTATTCAAGCCCAAAGCCTTTTCATGACCGAGTTCTGATCCACAACCCCGAATTTAGAAACGACCCAAAACAGGGTGTTACAACTCTCCTTCACTTAAATTAGATTTCGTCCTCGAAATCATTCATTACTACCTCCACTGCCACATTACACGACCCTCTTCCAATACTTCTATTAAAGCCCATTCCTAACAGAAATCACACATCCTAACGAAAAAATGAACCTTATCATTCTGTCCTCAGCCAACAGAAGAAAAACCCAACTCTAAACCCTAAACAATGTTTGACTTCCCAACAAACAGTCATCCCATGCCACATCCATAGAGACTTCGATTCGCAATCCGAACCGAACATGACATTTTAATAAATATATAACTTAAGTATTAGTCAACTATATAAATTAAACTAAAGAAAATGGTTTAATTAATTGTGAATTAAAATTTATAAACAACCACTAAGAAATATATAATAGTTTAATATTTTATAGACAATTTTTTTTGATAAAAAATATATATTAAGGTGTTATATCGGATGAAACTTTACAATCTACTAAAAATTAATTTAGTAAAGTTATAATTTATTATATATATATATATATATATATATATATATATATATATATATATATATATATATATATATATATAAGTAATAAATTGTTATTCATTTTTTTCACTAATAGAAAAACCAAAACCAATCTAAAATCCAAATAATGATTTGGTGTACCTGAAAATCAATTCAAAAATCTAAATATTCAAACCATATAGTCTGATCATTACTTTTTCAATTGGATAATTGGATCTTATCAAAATCCTAAACAAACCTACCTATATTCTATATTATAATAACTATTTTCATAACATGTATTAGTATGAGGGGTGTAGTTTGTTTATAGGACAAGTAAGAGGGATTAAACGCGAATCTTATTTCATTTTGTGTGTGAGAGAGCATAATCATGAAGACAATATGGTGTAAATATTGAATATGATATGTCTAGTACGCGCCTCCTGGTACGCAACACGTACGTCATTAAACGAGTACACTACCTATACACATGAGAAACATGGAGTGTCGAGCTCATGGAATGTCGAGCTGAATCAGTAAAACAACGTATAAGCATGACCGATTCATTTTTAATCCCATCTCTTGGATGCGTTCCTAACAAACTCATGCCACTTAGCATTATATGAAACCGTTTTTTGTATCTAGAAGGGCGGGATTAGTAGTAAGGTAGGTTAGTGGAGGGTAAGGATGGTACCGACAGTACCGGTGGGTCACAATTCCGGTAACATATGTCTAGCAGGTTGGAGAAATTAATTGAATGTAGCGCGTTGATAGACCCATAAATGAATGCATGCAAAAATTTCTTTGACATATACCTGCCGTTTTCTCGAAGGCATTTTTTCTTTTATTTTGGACGAAAAGTGTCGTGCTTTGAGAGAGATTTATAACTGTTTTTTTTTTAATATAAATTTGTTTATTTAGTTGGATTTGTGTGTTGTGATAATTATCTCAATCGTTTATAAAATACATAATTAATTTGATAATTTGATAATCAATTGAGTAATAAATTTTGTATCGATTAGTTTGACACCAACCAATTAATTTGTATAGATTAGTTTGTCAAATAGAATTTAGCAAAAGTTTATTTTTAAAGAAAAAAAAATAATCATGTTTTATTTTATTTTATATTTTTAATTTATTAAATAAAAAATAATGATATAGCTAGTGGGATGAATAAGTTGGAAGAGACATGATTTTATGTGTTGTAGGCTGAAAAAGATGAAATTTTAGAACCTTTTGGAGATCTATTCAGGACCAGGATCAGTTTCAGACTGTTTCATCCATCTCTCTAACTACAATAAAGGGCAGCAATGGATCATGTTATTATAGAAAATCTACAACTCACTCATGAAATCACAAAAATATATCTAAATATTCGGGTTGTAGATGATTGTTAAAAAAACATACCACAATGCGGATATAGTCCCTCAAATCGAGTTACAATTACATACACTTTATAGAGAATAATAACACGCACAAATAAATACCACCATTAGAAAGAAAAAGTGAAAAACATCACCACAAAAAGAACAAATCAATTTCTGAACTCTCAAGTAAGATCATCATCATCCTCCTCCTCTTTTGCCTTCAACAACAATTTCACTCTCAGCAAAAGTGTCGTCTTCCATTCATCCTACATAAAAAAAAAAAAAAAAAAAAAAAAACATCAACCAACAATACTAGAGACCTATTTGTTACACATAACATGACAACTGATTTGTGACTGAGTTAGGAACATTTTTGTATTACCAGCTTAGTCATGCTGTCAAATTCCTTCACTGCATCAGTAAACTTTTCAACATCTTCTTCATCCACAGCTGCAGCTAAATCCTGTCATTTAAATAAAAAGTGATGGGATTGGGATTTAATACCAAAAAAACATACAATAAAAAAAGATAAGGATTTAATAAAAACATACTGCAAGCAATTTGCATTCACGTGTTCCTGAAAATGTGGGATCAAGTTCCTGATAACGATCCAATGCATTTGTGATTGCAACAACATCACCTTTACAGAGTTGGCAAATCCCAGCATTTAATAAATGCCCTCTAACTCCATATTTTAGCAAGTTATTATTCAGAGACTGTTTTGCTATCTCTTCATATATCTCTATAGCTTTCTGATATCTGAAACAACACATTTTCAGGGTATTATTATTACTCATGATTTTAATCCCTAATTAATATATATATATATATATATATATATATATATATATATATATATATATATATGAAGCTTACTGTTCCAATTGAGCTGAAAATTGTGCGATTTTCTGCTTGCATTGGTTTGCAGAAGTTGTTACTTCTTCACCTTGGAAAAGATCAGATGCTTTATCATAGTAAGCAATAGCTTGCTCCAAATTTTGCTCCTGTTCGTATAACTCGGCAATTTCCTATAGAGTGAAACCAAATTGTATGAAAACTAAATTAAAAATTAATATATAAAAAACTGGGAGATAAATGATAATGCTATGATGTATGTACCTTGCAATATCTGGCAGCCATGCTGAGTCTTCCAATTTCCATGAAAATGTTTAATGCTTGCTCTAGGTTAGCTATGCACTCTGCAGAAATTTAAGGTAACAAGAAAAAAAAAATATTTTTTTATATATCCAGGAAAAATAACGGATTAAAAATCAATTATTTTTTTAGTTTATACCCTTGGTGCTTGTTTTCTTGTATGAGTGAGCTGCATCAGCATAAGCACTAGCAGCTTCATGTTTGCTATCCATCTAGAAAAACACAAAATCAAGATTATTATGGGGTTTAAAAAATGATGATGGAATTAACTATTAAGCACTTACTTTCAGATGACACTCAGCCAGCTTGACATATACAGAACCAGCTTGGTCCCCTGAAAATTATGGTTAAAAGATTAAAATACATAAATGATAGGTTTGTTGTAAGAAAGAATGATATGGATGTTTGAGGATTAATATTTAATATTTTAATACTAACATGATTTGGCAAGCTTGTAAGAATTGGCAGCTTTTTCGTATAAATCACCAGCATCTTCAAACTTGGACCCAAAGAAGCCCCAGCCATTGAGCTTCTTGTCAGCTTTCTTCTCGAATTCCTGACCTTTTGCTATTTGATCAGACATTCTCAGTAGATCCCTTTTGTTCTTTGCAAGATGTTTCTCCCACTCTGTGAGTTTTCACATAGAAGAATAGAAAAGAAGAAGATTTTAAGTGAAGAAAAAGAAATAGAAAAAGGTTTTGTGTTCCTCTTTTCTCTTTGCAAGTTTATACCTTGATCTTAGCTAGAACCAAACTAGAACTAAAAATAAGGTAGTTTTGGGAAGCATAGACATATCCTATGGAGGCAAGTTTACCACATCAATAGATTCAATCATTTCTCAGCTTTATAGAAAGTGAAATTGGACTGAAGAGAAAAAAGGAACAAGTAACATTTATCAAGTCTCAGGATCAAGCGATCAACCAACTAATGATCATGGGCAATATGCTCTAAGATGTGAAGTATGATGTTGTTGCAGGCATGCAGGATCTAAAGGCAAAATAGATATCATCTGTTGTGTAATTGTAAACCCTAAGCCAAAAGTTGAATTAATCAAATTTAATCGCTAGTGCAACCATGGACACATGTAGGTTATCTGAATTCCTACTTGTGCATCGTTAGATCAATTAGCTAAACTGCTTTAAATCCTTGATTAGATTTCGTCTACACGTATCAAATTTCTTTTTCGCATACTTGATTTGAAGGAAATATTTTAGCATCGATACAAGTACTTGCCTTTCAAAAACAAACGATGCAACTGGTAGGCAATAAACCCTAAAATGAGCACATTGAAAACTAATATGAAATTGAAGTAATCATCATTTACTCTAAACACGATCGAATCCATAGAACAGTCTGAAACAACTCAAAACAAATTAGGTTACTCGAACAAGAAGAAAAAGACTCACACAGGTAACTGCAGGAGAAGCACAAGAAAGGCGACGATGAAGAGGATCGGTATGGCGTGCGAAGTTCTCTTTCCTTATTCGATATGTGACGAAGAAGAAGAAGAAGAGATTAGATTTGAAGAGTGTGGTTGGACTGAGTCAAGATTTTGAGGAGAGAGGGAATACGGGTAGAAAGAGAGGATCAGCCGGTGATGGAATAGAGGGCTAATCGCTCAGGCTGATTTTATTTATTTTTACTTATTATTATTCTTTTTTAGTGGGTGTTTTGAATAAATAATTTTTAGTTTATTAGCTTATTTGCTTATTGTGGTGAGAATAATCATTTTTTTTAAATGTGTTTAAATTAACTTATTGCGATGGAATAAGCAAAAAGCAATAAGTAATAAACATTTAAGTGTTTGACAAAATAAAACAGCTTATATAAGTAAAATGATCAATTGCTTATATGAGTAAAATGACCAATAAGCAATAAGCATTCCCCCCATTTCTTATTAAAATCAGCTTATTTTGTTTATTCCTACCGCAATAAGCTGATTTTTAAAGATTCTCATCCAAACACTTAAATTTGTTTATTGCGGTGGGATTAAGCAATAAGCAATAAGCAGCCTATTTTTTTCCCTATCCAAACACCCCCTTAATTAAAAAATTTTGAAAATTTAGTTGGTAAGTGATAGTTAGTAGCTTAGTTTTTATTATAAGAACGTGTGACAAATATTGTTAGAAATTTTTTAAAGGTGTATAATTTCAAAAAAATAACACATGTATGTTGGTGATCTCTTGATTGAAACTTACAATGTTTAAAATTAAAATATCTTGTACTGCAACGTTGTTAAAACCGAGATCTTATTTAAAATTGTTTTATATTTGCAAAATCGTGATCGGAAGATCCTATAAGAACGAACTCATAATCACATTTACTCGCATGATAATGTAATCAAATTTAACTTCTTAAGTCTTACCCATAGTTTTGTTGCTACAATCCATAAACATTAAGAATCAAACATTTTAATTAAAAATAAGATTATTTTGATCATGTACAAGTAAGACATAAGATCACATAAGGATTATAATAGGTGTGTACTGATTAACTTGTGATGAATTGAAAAAATAATGATGCTCTAAAAGATTTCTTGCAACTTATGACGTTCGATTTCAAATTGAATAGACGAATTTTTGATACTTGGCTATACAATAAAACTAAAGCGAAAGGTGAGATCGATATTGTTTTTCACTTGTAGAATCTTAAAATCATAAGATAAATTTGAGATTTTAACAACCTGGTTCTATGGGATGCCCGAGTCATGCCTGATGAGCAACCAAGCTGATGGTTTTTATTATAACATACATATTAGGTATTTTATAAGGAAAATAATTTAAAGGGATAACAAAATATCGAAATCATAGATACATATGTGTTATTTTAATGGAAGTTATTACATTTAAATGTAAAAATATATAAATACTCAATTATATATTATTTTAATTGAAGTTAACCTTCTAGTAGGGTCCTCCATATATCATAAAGCCATCATAGTTTTGATAATTAAGTATTTATGTATTTAAATATTTAAATATAATTATATATAAACATGACCATATTATGATCTCTTATATGAAAAAATATGTATTTATACAATGATATGTTTATTTGTACACAAAAACACATATATTGTAAAAAGGTAATTTATATGTATGTAAAACCTGTATTTATATATTGAAATACTATGAGTATGTATGAAATAATATGTATTTTTTGAAATGTTATTTTTTCCAGAGAAAATCCTAAAAGGATTAATAGTAAAATGTGTATAAAAAATAAATGATAAATATATACAAATTTTATTTTATTTTATTTCACAAAATGATTTTGTATTAGTTATTTTTATCATGTCTAAAACTATTTTTAGATAATAATTTTTTTTTTTATAAAAATTTTTGCATCTCTTTTTATTTTTCTTGTCATGTATTGGATCATTCATATTGAACTATGTTTTTATTTTAAAATTGGACTTTCAAGATTCACACCATAAATTTTTATTTATTTATTTATTTTTCTCATGATTTTTCATAAAAGTATGACAAACTTTGCATGCCAAGATGCAAATTATATATTTTTTTTCAAATTGTATCATTTGGCATTTTTGTTGAAAATTTTTAATCTATGAAAATAAGTAATAAGTTTAGCAAGATTTGTCATTTTGTCTATAAACACAAAAATACCAAATGTTATTATGGAATATTAGTAATCGATTAACATTGATCAAAGATGACAATGTTTTATGAAACATGACGTTTGAGATTAAAGCAACCGAACATCAAAGTGTCACTAGTATTATATTTTTTTTTATGAGATGAGACTTCAAGTGTTCGCAAAGTGAAATTTCATAATATTAAAAAAAATACATTAGGATTTAACTGATGATTTATCCAATGTTGTTCATTTTAGACAACCATTTTGGATCCAATGTTGTTCATTTTATACAACCATTTTAGACTACCATTGTAATACCAAGTCGTGGTATGTCTTTATTGTTTAAGGTTGTTATTAAAGTATGCATTTTTGGTGGCCACATCATGGCGGATGGATCCCCATGACGTGGCCATGCCCTTTGGACACGTAGGTATATTTTAAGTAACCACCACGACGTAACATATGTTTAATGAGAAACCCTAATATTTGGGGTTTGCGTCCCTATTTAAGAGAATGCGATGGCTAAGCTTGCTCACCCTCATCATTCATCATACTCTCTCAGCCTCCAAGCAAATCCTAACCTTTATTTTTGCTCCATAAGCCTTTGTTTTGATTTTTGGGGATTAGAAGGAGAAGAATGTGACATTTAGACTTGGAATTAACAAGCAACTCTTCTCATCATCTCGTGGTGCATTTTCTGGACTCCTGCAAGTCCTCAAGTTCCAAGCTTTTTGGTTTATTGTGCATAGATCTAGGTTTCCATGTCTTATTTTTCATATTGGGACATTTTGGAGTGTTGGGATTGCATAAAGTTGCTAACTTTATGGATCCCCAGAGTCTCTTTATTAGCAAGAGTGTTGGATCTGAAGTTGTAGAGTTTTAAACTCCTGCCTGAGACCTTGGCCCTTTTTACTCTATTTTGATCTAGCTTGAGTTCAAGACATGCCTTGGACATGAATATCTATAAAAGCAACGATCTTTGTGATCCATTAGATGAGAGGATGCCTTCTAGAAAGTTTGAATGGTTGGTTTGATGGATTAAGAGTTTACTGGATTACGTTGGTATGAACGGTCTCCACGACATGGTGAATGGATCCCCATGACGTGGCGGATGACTGCCTTGCGTCTGTTTTATCATCTTGCCGCCACGATGCGTCCAAGGAAGGTTATAACGTGGCAGTTAGTTGTAGGTTGACTTTTGTCTTTGACCAAGTTTGACTTAGGGGCATTTTGGGTATTTTGGGGTGTAGTATGAGATTTAGTCATTATTTGATGTATAGCTGGCCTGTAGAGTTGGTATTTATAGCAATGTTTTGTTCAACTATCTTCAGACTGTGAAGTGAGTTTTCCTCACTGTACTTGTGGGTCGAAGGCACCAATTTCGGCCCACTTGGTTATGTATCATGGTATATATGATGTTGTTATGTTGTAGCGATCTGTTAGATATGTATGATGATATATAAAATGTTGTTATACTATGGTGATCTGTTAGATTTGTTTGCTTGTCTGTTGAGTGGTTATATGTTTATTTGTTGCATATGTCGACATAATATGGTTTTGGGTTGAGGCTTTATTGTTATGTGCGTGAGCCAGCATACCATGTTATTCCAGTCTGATGACTGATTGGACCCGTTGCATATTGACATTCCAATCTGATGACTGATTATGGTGAGGCATTCTAGTCTGATGACTAATTGGGCCGAGGGTAATCCAGTTTGATGGCTGTGGACCCGAGGGTAATACAATCCACTGACTGATTGGACCCAACATGCATGATTGTATATGTTATATGTTGTGTGGTGGTACTTTGGGGAAACTCGCTAAGCTATGGCTTACAATTTAATTTTATTGTTTCAGGTACTTCAAATGATCAGACAAAAGCAAAAGTGTGATCGTACACATCATTCGGTGATATGTTTGGGAGACTTTGTTACACTATGATTTTGGGATGTTTTTATTTGATACTTGGTTTTTGAATTGGGGTGTTGTTTGAAAACAATGATTTTACTTAATTAAAAATGAATTTTTTTTATCGTGGTTTTGGAATGTTACAACCATTTCATGCCTATAAATAATTTCTTTATTATGTTAGTTAACATTTTGACAATCTAATCTAAATTTCAAGTACCAACAACACACATATGATATTAGAAAATGAATCCATCCAACAAAAGACACCAAAAAAGTTTTTTTAGCCTTCCACAATTTGAAAAAAGATGATTATGGTCGGTTTGAGCTCTTATTTGTTGACATGGTTGCATGGTAAAATTCATTCTTAATACAAAATTACTTCTGCATTTTAAGTTTGATTGAAGTGTTACGAATGTTTGTCAAATAATTCATAGATCCAAGTGTTTCTAAACTGCTTAGAACCATTTATCATAATAGACAAAACCTCTTAAAAAAATTTAGAAGCCATGTTCTTAGGAGTTTCTATCAATGAAAACCATTAAATCTCACTTCCAACATATAGAGTGAGCAAATGAAAGAAAGCAGTGAATCATGGATATGGTTTTTAATGAAGCTAAATGAATTCCTCGAAAAGGTCAAAAAATTAGCCAATCATATATGATACGAAAAATTTCACTTACATGACATACTTTATAAGGTAAGTTACCACATCAATAACCTCAATGTTATATCATTAAAAAAATTAATAACAAAAAAATGTCAGCTTATAGAACAAATAAATCTGGAATCGAGAAAAAAAAACACATAACTTTATGCCGTCAGAAAAGGAACACATAAAAAGGAAAATACAACATTATGCGGAATCCAAAGGTGCAATAGATACAAATCTTGTGCATCAGTAAACCTTAAGCCAAAAATTAATTTAATAAAATCTAATCGTTCTAGTGTCGTTATTGAACCAAATATGTGATCTTTGTGAGTTCTTATTGTGATTTGTTTTACAGTCGATTGTCCTCTTAAACCGGGTGTTATATGAATTTACACCTATTTCGTAGCCCTTGTGTAGGAGTGTAAACGAGTTGAATCTAACCTAAGCCCAATTAAGTTCGAGCGTAAGCTCGTGGCTCGTTTCGAGCCTTTTATATATCAAACTCGAGCTCGGCCTGTGAAAGATCTATCAAATTTGAAAGTTATAAAATTTTATCTAACTTAAGCTCGTTTCTAGCCTTAATATAAAATTTTATATTTCCTTTACCTTAAAATTTATTTGTTAGGAAGTTAATAAAATCTGAGACTTACTATAAATTATGATGTGGACTCAACCATATGTTCATTTGTCCATTTCTACTAACCTTTCCAAATTCCAAGCACCACATCAAAATGAAAACGGTAAATTACATCAATCGTCCCATGTGCACATTTCAGAAAGCGTGTTTAGTCCCTATTTTCAAAAATTAACTTGGACCGTCCCTTATTTCGTTAAAAGTTGCACGCTTCATCCCTCGTTAGTTTAAATTAGCATGTTTCATCCCTTGTGATACGTAAAAAGACTATAATACCCTTTTCTTTTTCTTTTTCATTTATTTTGAACATTTTTTATATTTTTAATTATTAAAACTTATTTCAATTATTTTTCTATTTTGTTGAATAACACCTGACCACCACTGGTAATCTACACCACCACCGGAAAATGAATCACCACCGCCACCCCTCACCGGAAAATGGAGCACCACCGCACCCCTCACTTCATCCCACCCATTCCTTCGTTCAAAATTCGAATGTTTCACTGAATATAACCACAAACCACCGCCTCATTCACCGAACAAACCATTTATTGTTAACACCACCACAACCTCTATCGAGAAACACACTTACAAATCTAGATAGAATAATCAGGGCAAATCAGGAAGGAAGAATCATGACATGGAAATGTTTAATTCGAAATCTGTAAAGGATTTAGAGTTCTTAAATTGAAAGCATATCTGATTAAGTGAACCTCCAAATATGATTCGATACCAGGGAGATGGCAAGAGGGGGTTTTAAACCTGTACTTCGTCTAATTCGTTGTTCATCAATTTCTTACCCCTTAATCTCCAATTCGTTGTCTTCTTCACTTCATAAGAAGAAAGAGACGCATCTGGTGATCGATTAGAGGGTTAAGAATAATGTTTTATATGTTTTGAGACTTGTTATGGGTATAAACACGCAAAATCCGAACCGGAGGTTGTGGTGGTGGTTGCGATTTGTAGAGAAAAACAGGTTGCATTATTCTCCTTCGTATGCCCTAACTAAAACCCTTGAACATCTGTCTTCGGAAATCTGTGGATGGTACGTCACATTGGCCTTGATTGAATTGATTTCATACCCTAACCTCATCATCTCATATCTTTAAACTCTTCGTCTTCTCCGATGAGCATCAAAACCCTCCTATTTTGCACCCTTTTTCTCTTACAGACCCGATTTATAGGTGTGTGGTCGCTGGCGTAGTTGCAGAAGATATGAGAAGGTGATTGAGCGGATCTGTGATGGTGGTGCTTTGTCGGAAGTCGTCGGTCTCATTCTTCACCTGTACGCCACCGTCGAAAGTTGTCGACGGAATTTTAGATCAAGGTGACGATGGTGTTTTTGGCTCAGTGATGTAGGTCTGCTGTGAAGGATGTAAGAACAGGAGATAATGGAAGTGCGTACTAAGGGGTTGGAATATTTTGTTTATTTATTTGTTTTTTAATTTAAAACTGATAAAGAAATTAAAAAAATGAATAAATAAAATAGTAAGGGTAAGACGGTCATTTCATGTCAATAGGGACTGAGCGCGCAAGAAAAAACAAACATAGAGATGGTCCGAGTTAATTTTTGAAAATAAGAACTAAACACACTTGTGTACGAAAGACGAATGGTGTAATTTACCCAAATGAAAAGTATCATTTCTATTTTCTCATTTTCCTAGTTATAAAACATCTTATCTCTTTAAGTTTATTCTCTATACCAACGTGGGATACATATTCTCTTTATCACATACCTCTTTAAGTTTATTTCTATACCAACGTGGGATACATTTTGATTATAACACATATTCTCTTTATCCGATACACCATCATCATCTTCAACATTCCTCTTTTAAATACTTCAAAACTATAATTATCTGATATTTAGATAGATGTTTATGTTGCATTATTTTTATTTTTGATAAAGTTTTTCATGATAATTAATTACCTTTATGAAAGATAATAATTAATTATCTAACATATATGTTGTTTCGAAGTATCTTTTACCAATTACACTAAAAATTGAATTTTTTTTACACTATGACCAAGTCAAGGCCAGTTAAAAATATTGTAGCCTTGACTAATTACATCAGTTTAAAGCTTTACATGAATGATCCTACTACTAACTGTCTTAAATCTTAACCAACCAACCTAGCAACAAAAACATTTCCAACAAAATCCACATTGACGTTCCATATGATTGAAAAAGGGAACCAACTTTGCATTTATGTTTGCTTTGACATAATTTTAGTAAAATGTTTTGGTTGATATTATTTGCAATCCGATGTATTTTGTAGGCTGCTAATCATTTTTTCTTTGATTTATTTGACATCAAATGACATATGACATGCTTTTTGTAATAGTTAAATCTATACTTTGCAATTAAAAATGAACTTATTGCACATTTTCATATACAATAATGCTAACTTTTTGAGTTTTGACAATCATTATTCTATTTTCTACGAGTTTTTGCAACAAATTAATCCTTATTTTTGTAAGAATACCCAAACACGAGTTTTTGCATAATGTAATCTTTTTTTTATAAACATAAAAAGATTTAAGGGAAAAATATCACTTGAAATTGATTGTTTTTTTTTTTTTTAATTTTTTTTTAATTTTACGTTTATGTTTTCCCTTTTCAAATTATTGAAGTTGGCTTGATACATTCAAAAAAATACTGTATATTCCGCTATTAGAGCAAAATGTTTTTGAGTTTTGACAACCATATACGATGACTTGTTGGAACATAACCATGGTAACAGTAACACACGTAAAAAGAAGTGATCAAATGATTCGTCATCGAACACATTCAGATAGACATATAGCTCACCGTGGGTGACCCAATGAAGCGTGAGTTTGTTGATCGGAAAGACCTCTCATACGGATCAAAATCAGTATCCACCCCCGTTCTCATTCTCCGGTACTCTTCCAGCATTTGCCCCAGTGACTCCATGATTTCCGTCATCGAAGGTCTGAATCCCCTCTCCGCCTGTTAACGACAGTTACAAGCAAATCAATTCCTTTCAGTTCATCTTCATAATCATACATGCATAAGCCAATACCTGAGTACAAAGCGACACAATATCAGCAAATCGCGACAGAACCTTTGGAGGAATTGTCTTCCTGATGCCTGCTTCAACCATTTCATCCAACGATTCACTGTCATGAAGCCGGGAAGAAGCCCATTGCACTAGCGAACTCTCGTCTCTCAGTGGATCTCTGTTTTTTTCAAAAAAATCACAACAGATCTCAACGAAAAAAGATGAAGATGAATAACGTACCCATCGAAAGGCTTCCTTCCTGTCAAAATCTCCAAAAGCAGCACTCCAAACGCATAAACGTCGTCCTTTTGGTTACCAGTTCCAGGTTTCGTGTGTTCATAAGAAATGCCTCCAGTATCCGTCTCTGAAGCCTAATTAAATCATCATCATCATCGTTAAGTAACATAATCAGAAGAGTAAAAAGGGAGAAGAATTGTTGTGGGAGCCAGAAACATGTACCTGAGCTCTAGCACTGCTGATTGTCAGGGGCTTCAAAACAGCGAGATAGCAGTCGGAGATTCGAGGCGTTAGATCTTCATCAAGTAAAACATTAGCAGCCTTCAAATTTCTGTGAGCTAAAGGAGGCGCACATGTCGTATGCAAGTAGCTGAATTAAACAGCAACGAAAATGACATTCAAAATTACGGAATCAAACCCTAGAGAAAAAGGAAAATTGAAAATTGTGATATGCTTACTTCAAAGCTCGAGCGATTCCAAGAGCGATTCGAAGACGAAGCCCCCAAGATAAAGGCATGTATGCTTCCGAATGCAAAGCATAATCAAGAGACAGATTTCTTACATATTCATACACAAGCATATGTTGACCTTGTTCTACACAGTATCCATGAAGCTGTATGATGTTTGGATGTCTTACACGCGAAGCATTCCAAATCACCTCCAAAAACTGCTGTTCTTCGTGAAGAGATAATGCCACCGTGTTTATACACTTCACTGCAAACACCTAAAACACAAAAAACAATCATCATGTCTACAATTATTATCAAATACTCTGTTATAAAACTTTGTAAATTGATTCAGAATGTAGTTAATTACTTGTCCATCAGGAAACTCTGCTTTGTACACAGATCCGAGAGAGCCTTCTCCAAGAAAATTACTTCGGTCAAAGCTATTTGTTGCTAATTGCAATTCTGCCACTGTGTATAAAGTTGCACCAATTGGCATTCTACTCTTTTTAGCAAAACTTCTTCTTCTATTCACTCTCACAACTTTTGTACGAACTGGAGCTGCATGCCTTGGGCCAGCGGTGGGTGAGCTGATAACGGACACTTCTGGGCTCTCATCAAGAGCTGTGGATGAACAATCTGTATATCCAACACACAATTTTGATTAAAAAATAAATTAAAAAAGCAGATTACAGAAACACATTTATGATTTTAACAAAAATTAAATTTGACTTGCCTCTGGGCATACTGACTGGAAGAGATGGCTGTGACCCTTCACTGCTGGCTGGTCTTCTAAGCTTTCTAGAATGATTACGCAAGCGAATCACAATGAAGATTACAAAACATGCTGCCATTAGAGCACCTACACCATAAAAAATGACCACGTGGCCTGATTTTTTCTTCTTGTGGTTGACAGGCTCAGTCAAAGGATAACTCTTGACTGCACTTGATGACTCTGTAGATGGTGGAGAAGTATTGTTTTGCTGATCATTTGGATTTTCCATGGGGAAATCCCATGGTGGACTGTTGTCCCCTTTATCAAACATATTACCTCCAAACCATAGATTGTGTATAGTTTGGAATTGTTTTGGAATGATTCCACTGAAATGGTTATCCTGTATGTTCCTGAAATTGCGTGTATATTTATATTCAGCATCATGAAAAGAAAAAGAACTATAGAAAAATGTCAAAAAAGGACTTACAGATCCGTTAGTTGAAGGTCAGCTAGAAAGATGACTGACCCTGTGAATTCATTATGCTGCAAGAACCTGCAGATTCATTCCATTCCAACAATCAATAGAACTAGTACAAATGGCATAAGTGTGAATATTAGTCAATTGGAAGGTAAACTCACAGTCTTGACAGGCCTCTCAGTGTTCCAAATGAACTTGGTAGGTCTCCGATAAATTGGTTGTATGAGAGGTCCCTGTGAAAGAAGTCAATAAGAGTCAAACATGTATGCAAGTGTTCTGATTCATAGTGAGAAAAGTTCATTTCATGCATACATTTCTTTGAGACATGATAAGCCTGTAAAGACATTCCCAACAGGCCCTGACAAAAAATTGTGGCTCAAATTCCTGCAAGGGAGAAAGATTATGATCATGTGATTGTTAAGTGATGGAAAAATTAAGGGGAGGGGGGATAACTTACATGTGTCGAAGGTTTTTCATGGAAGAGATTGAGTAAGGTATGTATTGACTTAAGTTGTTGCAAGCCAAATTTCTGCATTCATGGAATTTTTGGTTCATGGAATGAGTAATTTTTATATACAAAATATTTGTAACAGAGTTTAGTGAATCTTACAAATGAGTTAGATTCAAAGGTAGTCCGTACGGAATTTCACCATAAATGTTGTTGTTGCTCACATCCCTAGTATAGAAAGCACCTCACTTTAGAAAGTTGGATGTATTTATACAATAAAATGCATCATGATTTACAATTGCATGATAAAAAGAACTTACAGTTGCTTCAAGTGATGGAAATTATTGAGCTGATAGCCAAGGTTTCCAGTGATGTTTAGGTTGTCAAGTTTACTGTAAGTTAAGTGAAGGAAGGTAAGTTTAGTGTAAATTATCAAGAAAGTATACTCTGTTTGCAATGCCATAGAAGTGACTCTTTGAAATGGTGGGATTAAACTGAATGGAGGAAATACTTAAAGTTTACATTTGGATGATTGAAGAACCAGCACAGGAAATTCCAGTCCATGATTCTTGACATGGATCACCACCATTTGATTTCCATCCTTTGAGCTGAGGTGGCGTATTAAAAGATCTATACAGATCTTGTAGAGCTCTAACTGTAGAGATTGCACAAAAAGTATTAGATACTGTGCTTTGATTAGGATTAATTCCTAGGCTATCAAGTAGTTCTTGCAATTGCTGCTGTGGGGTATGCATTACATAGATACACCAACATCATTCAGTATAACACAAACTGTAGAAAAAAGCCAAAATCAAACGTTTTCACTGTAGTATGTGTTTTAATCAAAGGCTGAAATCAAATTTTGACTGCTGTCATTCTCTCCAAAGAATGATAAACCCTAAATCCCACAATAAGAAATCAAATCTCTG